AAATAACATTTTAATATGTGATATAATTTAATAAATATAAATGTATAAATGCATACCTGATATTATCGGAGCACACCTTTCCCAGCGATTCGCTAACAACTCCCGCATAAGGGGGGGGTCTAGATTTCTTAAAAAGTGCGAACGTAATTTGCGAATCACCCCTAAGATGATTGATTTTAATATTTGAACAAGTAATATATTTATTTAGACAATATATATTGTTATTTAAATAATATAAAGAAAAAGTAAACACAATTGATAATTTATTACATTATTTATTTTAAATATTCTCCAATTTGTTGGTCAATCAATTTGTGGGCATTTCTCAAACTCTGGGAATCCTTTGGTGTCGATCCCCACATATCTCCCCCGTGAGCGCAGCCCTCAATCATAACGGCTTTTGTGCTTTTATTGAGGTCTTTAAGGACACTGAGAGCGTGGTAGGGGTCGAGTGACCCGTTAGGGAACACAACATTTGTCACGTTTGGCTTTAAACCCCCGTATTTGGCATTTGTCCGGTCGACCCCTTTCTGTACGGTTTGGGCCGTGAATTGTGGCCCAAAAACATCAGCGCATTGTTGGATATAAAACTCGACGGGAATATTGTGTCCGAAGGGACTGTTTGGGAGATCAGTGGTTACAAACCACCCGATTTCAGTGCACGCTTGATATACCCGTTGTCTCTCTATTAATGCATAAAATATAATCATTTAACTATAAGTTTATTTGACTTAAATATAATGATAAAACAAACATAAAATTATAATAGATTTAATAAATTTAAATCGGAAAATTAGTTTTAAGACAATATTATTTGCGTTAATAATTAACTAATATTGTTTAAAACTTTACAGTATAAATGTATTAATAGATTACATACCCATTTTGTTGGCATCAATAGTTGTATTTTTTACGCTATTAACCAAATCGTTATAATTGACATCATAACAGGGTAGGGTATGGTTAACACCGGTTAGTCGGGCATATCTGTCCAGTGGTGTACCGACAGATGAGTCATTCATTCCCTTACGAATCCCATCGAGATCTATGTTGTACTGAACGGAATGCGCAATACTAACCATTAAAGCCTCGGCTAACCAACGATTATCGTTGATATTCTTGCCGTCAAATGATTGGCACAAATTCAATGTTTTGCGTAATTTTATCACACCTTCCGGTGTTTTCAAGAGATCTTCCATTTCGAGGTTGGCTTTCCTATCGATTATAATAAAACATAATATATTTTGTAAACAATATAACTAATTATATTAAAATAAACAATATTACCTGATATTGTCTGAACACTCTTTTCCCAACGACTCGCCGGCGACCCCTAAATATTTCTTAAAATCTACAACAGCCTCGACGGGTGCGCTCGTGGCTATGGCACCAACTGCTATATGGGGGTACTCCATCCTAAACCAAGCAGCTAGATTGCCCGCATACGAGCCCCCGAACACAACCCATTTGCTGCTTTTAAGTGATAGTTTTTTAGTCAAATAGAGTGCAAACTGTTCCGTGTCTTTCAGTGCCATTTCAACGGTTAAATATTTTAAATTTTGAGTGGACAGGTCTGGTGTGGGCACTGATTTTCCGTAATACCGGTGCTCTAACACTACTCCCAAAGCGCCGTATTTTTCAGTCATTTCTCCCATATAACTAGCGTTTGTGAGCCAAAATGTACCTGCCTCACTTTCACCACTAATCAATAGAAATACTGGACCGCCTTTTTTATAATGGAAATCCTCTATAAAATAACGCTAATATATAAATTGTTATTATGTTTATGCATTATATAACTTTATTTAATGTTTTATATTAAATAATTTTATACCTGTTTGAAAGTCCTATTGTCCGATATATTGAAGTGATTCAATCTTTGGTCAAACCACTGATCCTCGGGTTCCCCATAGGACTCATCCCATGTGTTACGAACCGGTGGTCTAATAAAACCGAACCTATCATTAGGTCTACTCATAAACTGTTTGACACCAAAATTGAGTTCACAATAAACACAACTTATAAATACAAAACCTATTATAAGAATATTATTATTCATTTTATATTTTTATTTTGAAACTTTAAATAATAAATATTAATATCACATCTATATTTGCAGAAATATATCTCTTTATATACAAAATAATAAATAAATTGCAAACACTTCAATTACATTGTATAATTAGTTTTTACCAATTAGCTCTAAAACTGTATTGATAAGTTTACAATTAAGATAATGCTACTTATCCAAAGTGCATAAGGTGCTTTAGTTCAAGGATTTAAAACATATTGATTGATCATTTTCTATTAGAATGATACAAATATTAAGGATAGTTTGCATTTTCACTTTTTTATAAGAAAACGAGGACTTTTCGCACTAACCATGTTGATTAAAATTTGTAGGCAAATGTGTTAGATTTGAGGTGTTTAAAAGAAGTTACGTTTTAAAAGTTTTATGATTTCAAAATATAGTATTATAGATAACATAGGTGAATTCTAATATAACTATCGAAACGGGTATAAATTTTATAATAATATCTGTGAGAATAGTGCTGATAAAGTGTTCCGAGTGCTTTATTTCAATGTTTTGTATAATAATGCTATGTAATTAAATTACAATGTGTGATTGCTGATTTATTATAATTTATTTAGCATTTCTGTTGAATATCTGATCAATATAAGAAATTCATTGTTATATGTTTTAAAAAACAAATTACAAGCACAATAGAGACTTTATTGTAAACAAAGTTGTTTAAATTATGATGTAATAGATTGTTTTATTGTTTAAGTAATTATAGTATATTAAAGTAAATAATAATTTTTTACTTAAAGTACTTAAAATTCATTTTAATTAATATTTTTTCAGTTACTAAACAAAATGTTTTAATGATAAACTATCAAAGGCAAGACTGAAAATTAAATATAATTTTTTAAATAATAATTATATTTATTTAATATATTCAGCGATTTGTTGTTCAATCAATTTGTGAGCATTTTTCAAACTCTGGGTATCCTTTGGTGTGGATCCCCACATATCGCCGCCGTGTGAGTAGTTCTCAATCACAACGGCTTTTGTGCTATTATTGAGATCGTGGAGAACACTGAGAGCGTGGTAGGGGTCGAGTGACCCGTTAGGGAACACCACATTAGTAACCTTTGGCTTTAGTCCCCCGTAATAGGCGTTCGTCCGGTCGACCGCTTTCTGTATGGTCTGTGCCGTGAATTGTGAGCCATACATATCAGCGCACATTTGGACCCAAAACTCTACGGGAACGTTGTGTCCAAAGGGATTGTTGGGCAGATCAGATGTTACAAAATAAGCGAATTCACTACACGCCTGATATAACCATTGTCTCTCTATATTAATGTATAAAATTAATTAACAATTAATAATAGATTAATATTTAATTACATCAAAAGTTTGAGATATATACCCATCAGCTTAGGATCGATAGTTGTATTTCTTGACGCTATGATCATATCGTTATAATTTACTTCATCGCATGGCTTTGTGTGGTTCACACCCAGTACTCTGGCATACCTTTCCAGTGGTGTTCCCACTGAGGAGTCGTTCATTACTGTACGGATCACATCGAGATGTAAGTTGTACTGAACGGCATGAGATATAGTGCCCATCAAATTAAACGCTAACAATCGGTTATTATTGATATTTTTGCCGTCAAAAGTGTTGCACATATTAAGAGTTTTGCGTAATTTTATCACACCTTCCGGTGTTTGTAACAGAGTCTCCATTTCGATAAAGGCTTTCCTATCAATAAATAACATTTTAATATGTGATATAATTTAATAAATATAAATGTATAAATGCATACCTGATATTATCGGAGCACACCTTTCCCAGCGATTCGCTAACAACTCCCGCATAACCCATGAAATCGACAACAGCCTCGACGGGAGCGCTGGAGGCTATGGCACCGGCGGCTATATTAGGGTACTTTTCCCTAAACCAAGCAGCTAGATTGCCCGCATACGAGCCCCCGAACACAACCCATTTGCTGCTTTTAAGTGATAACTTTTTAGTCAAATACAGTGCAAACTGTTCCGTGTCTTTCAGCGCCATTTCACTCGACAGGTATTTCAGATTTTCAGTGGACAGGTCTGGTGTGGGAACGGATTTTCCGTAATACCTGTGCTCTAACACTACTGCCAGAGCGCCAAACTTTGGGGCCATTTCTCCCATATAAGTCTTATTTGTGAGCCAAAATGTACCTGCCTCACTTTCACCACTAATCATAAGAAATACTGGTCCACCACTTTTATAATGGGAATCCTCTATAAAATAACGCTAAAATACATTTTGTTATTAATATTAAATACAATTTTTATATAAAGTTTATAGTTTTTATAAATAATAACTTTATACCTGTTTAAAAGTCTTGTTGTCCTGTTTGTTGAAGTGATCGACTCTCTGATCAAACCACTGTTCCTCCGGTTCCCCATACGACTCATCCCATGTGTTATCAACCGGTGGTCTAATAAAACCGTACCTATCGTTACGTCTACCCATAAATAGTTTGAGACCAACATTTGGTTCACAATAAACATGACTTATAAATGCAAAACCTATTAAAATAATATTATTATTCATTTTATATTTTTGTTTTGAAACTTAAAATATTAAAATTATATCAATATTTACAAAAAAAACTTTTTCTTTATATACAAAATATTAAATAAATTGCAAACAGACCAAGTACATTGTGTAATTAGTTTTACTAATTAGCTCTAAAAATTTATTGATAAGTATTCAATTGTGATACTGCTACTTATCTAAAGTGCATAAGGTGCTTTATTTCAAGGATTCAAAGAATATTGATAGATTATATTCTATTATTATAATATAAATATTAAAGATAGTTTGTATTTTCACTTTTTATAAGAAAACACGGACGTTTTGCACTAACCATGATAATTATAATTTACTGTATATGGAAATATGTAGAGTTAAAATCTTTAAAATCGGGGTAACAATTTAAAAGGTTCATGATTTCAAACTATAGCATAGGAGAATCCTGATACTGTATAATAATAATAATGATTTTTATTTAGCAATTAAGCAATGAGATACATATCATGTTGTATTCATATAATAGTTATTCAAATGATTTACAAAATCTTAATTTAGTAAAAACATTGTTGATAAAGTTTTCCGGGTGCTTTATTTTAATGTTTTATATAATAATGTTCTGTAATTAAATGACAAACTAATGTTTTCATAAATTAAAATAAAATATTTTTGAGGTTATATTAAATCATGAATATATTGTCGATTATTAATTTACATTTATTTTAATTAAGACAATTTTACTGTTATAGTAACACATTTATATAATATTGATATAAATTACAAAGTATAGATTGCAAAATGACAATGGTGTTTATTTTTGAGAAAGCTGCTTAAATTAAAATATAATGATTTGTATTTAAAATAATAACAAAGTTGAAATATTAAGTAAGCAATAATACAATGAAATAGAATAGCTGTAAAGAATACCTTTAATTGTTTAATAGTAAGTTATTTGATTTATTATAATTTATTTAGAATCCTTGTTCAATATCTGATCAAGATATAAATTGATTCAATTGCTTAACAAAATGGTCTTAATTATAAATTGATAAATTTTCAAATAATAATTTAATTTTTATTTATTTATATAATATATTCAGAAATTTGTTGTTCAATCAATTTGTGTGCATTTCTCAGACTCTGAGTATCCTTTGGTGTGGATCCCCACATATCGCCGCCGTGTGAGTAGTTCTCAATAATTACAGCTTTGGTACTGTTATTGAGATCGTGGAGAACACTGAGAACGTGGTAGGGGTCGAGTGACCCGTTAGGGAACACAACATTAGTAACCTTTGGCTTTAGTCCCCCGTAATAGGCGTTCGTCCGGTCGACCGCTTTCTGTATGCTTTGTGGCGTAAATTGTGGGCCATATGTGTCGGCACACATTTGCACCCAAAACTCTACGGGAACGTTGTGTCCAAAGGGGTTGTTCGGGAGATCACTGGTTACAAAATAAGCAAATTCACTGCACGCCTGATATACCCATTGTCTCCCTTTATTAATGTATCAAATAATTAACAATTAATAACTGATTAATATTTAAGTACATCAAAAGCTTAAGATATATACCCATCATCTTAGGATCAATAGTTGTATTTCTCGACTCTATAATCATAGCGTTATAATTTACGTCATCGCACGGTTTTGTGTGGTTTACACCCAACACTTTGGCATACCTTTCCAGTGGTTTACCCATTGAGGAGTCGTTCATTATCTTACGGATCACATCGAGATGTAAGTTGTACTGAACGGCATGAGATATAGTGCCCATCATATTAAACGCTAACAATCGGTTATTATTGATATTTTTGCCGTCAAAAGTGTCGCACATATTCAATGTTTTACGCAATTTTATCACACCTTCCGATGTTTTCAACTCGTTCTCCATTTCAAGGAAAGCATTCCTATTAATAAAAATAAAACATTGTAATATGCAATATAATTAAATTTAAAAATATAAATGTATACCCTCATACCTGATATTATCCGAGCACTCCTTTCCCAGCGATTCGCTAACAACTCCCGCATAACCCATAAAATCGACAACAGCCTCGACGGGAGCGCTGGAGGCTATGGCACCGGCGGCTATATTAGGGTACTTCTCCCTAAACCAAGCAGCTAGATTGCCCGCATACGAGCCCCCGAACACAACCCATTTGCTGCCTTCAAGTGATAACTTTTTGGTCAAATACAGTGCAAACTGTTCCGTGTCTTTGAGCGCCATTTCACTCGACAGGTATTTCAGATTTTCAGTGGACAGGTCTGGTGTGGGAACAGATTTTCCGTAATACCGGTGCTCTAACACCACTGCCAGAGCGCCAAACTTTGGGGCCATTTCTCCCATATAAGTCATATTTGTGAGCCAAAATGTACCTGCCTCACTTTCACCACTAATCATGAGAAATACTGGTCCACCCTTTTTATAATGGGAATCCTCTACAAAATAACGCTAAAATACATTTTGTTATTAATATTAAATACAATTTTTAATATCTAATTTTATAAATAATAACTTTATACCTGTTTAAAAGTCTTGTTGTCCTGTTTGTTAAAGTGATCGACTCTCTGATCAAACCACTGTTCCTCCGGTTCCCCATAGGACTCATCCCATGTGTTATCAATCGGTGGTCTAATAAAACCGTATCTATCATTAGGTCTACCCATAAATAGTTTGAGACCCCCATTGGGTTCACAATAAACATGACTTATAAATACAGAACATAATAAAAGAATTTTATAATTCATTTTATACTTTTGTTTTGAAACTTATAGTTACAAAATTAAAATGATTTATATTAACCAAATAACTGTCTTTATATATAGTTTATCAAATCAATAGCAAAATACTTCAAACCCATTGTGTAATTTATTTTTACAAATAACAATGCATTGATAGGTTTACAATTATGATAAAGCTACTTTACTAAAGTGCATAAGGTGCATGATTTCAAAATCATATAAAATTCAAGTATGTAGATAAATGTTTTAGATTTGGATAAAACAAGTTTTAGATAAATGGTGATAAATTATTGATATTAAAAAAAGTTTTAAAATTTACTGTTTGCTTCATGCTATACACGGTATACGCGCAATCATAAAAATGGCCATAACTCGGTCATTTCTGAATATCAGCCTGAAATATTTAAATTATGTTTTTATTTGACCTAATCTATTATTTAAACACAATTAAATTATAATTACCTATGTCTAAAACTAAATTTTTACTCATAAAAATATTAACACAGTGCTTGTGCTAATCACGTTAATATTGCATTAAATAAATACATTATTTATTAGTAATTTAAACATGCAACTTTGCTGACTATCTTGTAGATTATGAATTTTGGTAATTCTAGCTCAAGCAAGTTATTAAGACGTTAGTATTGTGATTAAGTTGCCGAGGATTAGGATAAACTGTAAATTTTGAACTACCAATTATTGAAAAGGTTCTATGCTAACAATGATAAAAAGTGTAAGTAATGATAAAAATAAACATTTTATAAAATACCCGTTAATCGAGCGTATTGAAATAAATGTATTATGTAACAAACGATTAAATTCAATGCAACATTTTATTTTAAAAATTCAATGTATTGTTTAATTCAAATATTTGCCAATTTGTTGTTCAATTAATTTGTGAGCGTTTTTCATACTCTGGGAATCGGATTGACTCGATTTATTCATATCATAGCAATGGTCTCCGCCTTCAATCATCACAGCTTTGGTACTGTTATTGAGGTCTGTGAGGACACTGATTGCATGCCAGGGGTCGAGTGACCCGTTAGGGAACACCACGTTTGTTACGTTAGGTTTAAGGCCCCCGTAGTTGGCATTTGTCTGGTCGACCCCTTTCTGTATGGTTTGGCCGGTTATCTGTGAACCGAATATATCAGTGCATTGTTTAATATAGTATTCAACGGGAATGTTGTGTCCGAAGGGACTGTTCGGTAGATCACTGGTCGGGAAGTAACCAAATTCAGTGCACATCTGATACAACCATTGTCTCACTAATAATACATTTAAATAGACACATATTTAATTAATTATTAATATTATTATTATGAAAACTAATTAGTGATTGTTATTATAATATAAGATCTTATTAATTACATACTCCCTATAGTTCCCATTGGATCGATAGTTGTGTTTTGTAATGATTTAATAAGTATGCTATGCTGTATCTCTAAACAATCCTGGTCATTATTATTCAAACCGATCGCTTTGGCATATCTTTCAAATGGTGTCCCAACAGACTTGTCATTCATTATCTTACGGATGCCATCGATTGCCGACTCAGGCGACAAATGCATCCCCAGAAACATAACCATCTGTTCCGCTAAATACCTGTTATTGTCAACATTTTTGCCGTCAAACGATTGGCACAAATTCAATGTTTTGCGTAATTTTATTACACCTTCCGGTGTTTTCAGGAGCCCTTCAAACTCGTTGTGGGCTTTCCTATAGAGAGATCAAAACACCGTTTAATTTAATAATAAAATTCATATTACTATAAAACTTATACCTAATATTATCTGAACACTCTGTTCCCATCAATTCACTCATAACACCTAAATAAAACATATTGTCCATAACAACGCCGACGGGAGCGCTCGATGCTATGGCACCAATAGCTATATTGGGATACTTTTCCCTAAACCATGTTGCTAGGTTTCCTGAATACGAGCCCCCGAACACAACCCATTTGCTGCCTTCAAGTGATAACTTTTTGGTCAAATACAGTGCAAACTGTTGCGTGTCTTTCAGCGCCATTTCACTCGACAGGTATTTCAAGTTTTGAGTGGACAGGTCTGGTGTGGGAATGGATTTCCCGTAATACCGGTGCTCTAACGCCACGGCCAGAGCGCCGTACTTTTGGGCCATTTCAGTCATGAACATAGATGTAACATATGTAGAGTCAATCGAACCCTCGCCTCCAATCATGAGAAATACTGGTCCATCAGTTTTATGATGAGTGTCGTCCACGTAATAAAGCTTTATATAAAATATATTATAGTTGTTGTAAAATATGTTGTCATAATTATAACTTACCTGTTTAAAAGTTCTATTGTCCTGTTTATTAAAGTGATCGACTCTCTGTTCATACCATTGCTCCTCCGGTTCCCGATAAGACTCGTCGTTATTATTAACAACCGGTGGTCTAATGAAACCGTATTTATCGTTGGGTCGACCCATAAATAGTTTGAAACCCACATTGGGTTCGCTGTAAGCATTGCATACAACAACAAAAACTAATACAATAGTATAAATCATATTTTAATTGAGTTTTGAAACTTAAAATATAAGATTTATGATGATACACTTATTTGTAAAATAGTCTGCTTATATAGCATTTAAAATGCATGTCAATATTAATGTGCAATTTATTTAAATATGTTACCTTAAAAATGAAATTAGTTACTAACAAACAAATAAACTTATCATATTATTAGTACAGACCACCACCGATTATTTGATATTTAATTATTGATTAAATTTTATTAGTTTAAGCTACCTATAAAGTACTAACAAGTAAAGTATTGTTGTATCGTAAAGTAAAGTATTAAAGTAGTATTATACTAATTTGCAAATGAACTAAAATGACATTGTTTTTAACCACAATTCAGTATG